ATCTCAGTGCTGTTAAAATAACAAATACAGCTAGTTCTTGACTTACGACCGTTCGTTCAGCAACCGTTCCAAGTTATGATGGTACTGAATGAATGGTGCTTATGACTGGTCCTCGGAGTTCAGCCGTCCCAGCATCCCTGCAGTGACATGATTGTGATCTGGGTGCTTGGCAACCGGTTCGCACTTATGGTGAGTTGCAGCTCTCCATGATCACGTGACTACCATTTGCAACCTTCCCTGCCAGCTTCCCCAAAAAGTCAATGGGGAAGCCAGTAGGGAAGGTCGCATGTTGCTCCCACCCGCACACCCTCCCCCAGCCCCTCTGTGCTCCCACTGCACCAGCCACTCATGCACCCCCACGCACCCACCCCAACGCTTGCTGCTCTCTTGCACCCTTGTGCTCTCCCGTGCACTCTCCCATACCCGGGCCACCCCTTCCCAACCTGCATGGCGCACCTCACACACCCTCCCCAACCCATGCAGCACTTTTTCTGCACCCTCCCCAACCTGCACCATGCCTCTCATGCACCCCTCGCACTCTTGTGCTCTCTCCCTGTGCCGTGCCTCTAACACAGCCTCTCTGACCCTCCCCCACCCGGCAGCAGCCAATTTCCTGCCTGCTTCCCCACTGACTTTGATTGTGGAAAGCCGGCAGGAAGTTGCCTCGCCTAACAACCATGAGATTCAGTTAACGATGGCAACTGGGACTGCAGGGATTGCCATCACTAAGTGATGTAGTTTACGACCACATTGCTTAGCAATGGAAATTCTGGTCCCAATTGCCATCGTTAGGCAAGGACTACCTGTAGTACTACTCTTGAATCTTAGATCTAAGAGAGATTTATTTATTTATCAAATTTGTATGGCAACCCATCTCACAAAAAGTGACTCTGGGCGGCATACAACAATCAAATAAAACAACAATATAAAAACAATTATAAAAATAGAAACAATCATTATTAAAAATTAAATTACTCTTAAAAATTAAAATACATAAACCACAAAGCATGGAGAGAGTGAGTATATCAACCACAATAGGGAAGCCATCTTAGGATGTCACTGGTTCCCTGGGACCCCCACGCTTCATTTTTGACCCCCAAACACCAGTTCTCTGGTACCCCCAAGGTATCTAATAAGTCAGAATTGGCTTGATTATAGTGTCATTGTAAAACTCTTAAGAAGTGTTCACTGATTCTGAAAGTGAAAATGACATTTTCTAAGTAATCCCCCACATTTTCCATTTTTCAGGCTTCAGAAAATACATATTTTCAGTTTTCCATACTGTGCTTGGGTCTCACACACACAAAAAAATAATAAAATAGCTGTACTAGCAGCTATTCAGTGACCCAGTTTATGAAAGCTAGTGATAGATCATGAGTCCTTTACATTCTTTAACCTTAGAGCTCTCTTCCTGACTAATTTTTCTCATTGACCGTGACTTTGTTACTTTGGTTTCTTGCCTGAATGCTTAAGGGAAATTCATAGCAACTTGCCACTTGAGATGTAACTCATTCATGTGGTCATACAGCCTCTTACTGGAAAGGACAGGCAATCAAATGTAGAGACTGGAATCCAGCAGTATAGAAATGTTTTTTTTGATATTATCTATCTTTTGAAAATGGTGAACCTGCATTGCCCTTCATATTAAAAACAGATTCTGAATGGGCTCTTTCTTTTTAATAAAGAATAGGATTCAACTAATCTCTCTTCCGAGATTTACTATATTCAGATCTTTTCTAAGAAAGGTTCCTAGAATCCTTTTTCGACCTCTATGATTTTATAAACTCCATACTTGTATTTCTTCTGTAAAGAGTTAATCAAAAGATAAAGCTAAGCAATGCAGTTCTAAAATATTTTGTTGCTGCATTAGGAATTGGGACACCAGGAAGGAAATTCTCTACAGCTGAACTTGGAACTAGTATTTTTCATGTAATGAACTCAGGGAAAAGAAAAGCTGTCTGGAATGCTAACTATGAAGATGGAAAACATTTAGTCACCCTTGGAATGATATGAATGTTTTTCCAGGAAGCTTAAGTAAACGCATATTCTGTAGCTCAGAAGGCAGTATTTAACTTTTTTGGAAGTTAGACAATGTTCCACAAAGAACACGGAAGTTTAAAAAGATCATTAAAAATAGTTTTGTCAGGGGCAAACAAACTATTTAGTTAGCTAAATATTTCTGCTTATTTTTGGACATTTGACATTATTTTTAAATAATGCAAAGATATTTTAAAAATGTTTAAAGAAACATTTGCAACTATAACTCAAATTTAATGGTACCCTATATGAAAATGATGTCTTGTACAAGGATATATTCCAAATTTTGTCAGTGTTGTATGCCGTGCTGCACTACCAAGAATTGCTTTTCAGGAGTATGGAAGAGTGAACAGATATTGGGATCTGCCTATTTACCATTTTAAACTATAAAACCAGAGTAAGGGTTGCTGTTACAGTATATTATTAATTTTAAGCAACTCTAATAATTATATTTCTTACGTTGTAAACATAAATTATATGTTTCATTACTTTTGACTTCCCCTGCCAAAAACTTTCAGTTCTTTTTCTTCTCATGAACAGAAATAATTGTTGTTAGGGAATGCAAAATACTGTGGGAGTCACTTAATAACTTTCCAGATGCCTGAAAATGAATACATGTCTGTGTATGTATTAAGGCTTTTGCTAGCCTGAATAGGAGAAATACCTATAAAGCTTATACAGTGGAAACACACTACTGTGGTTTCAATACTAAGACCTAGAATCTTAATGCAACATCAGAAAGCTTACCTATACATGGAGTAATAACAGAGGGGAAAATTGATGAGATTTCCAGGAAAATACAGACTTTGGAATTTTGGTGACATTTGTACTGCAAACAAGCACAACTTATGATCAGCTATGCCAAATGGCAATATAGTGGCCTTTCAGGGTTTTTCTTTTGGGGGGAGTAGCCAAAAGAACAAGAAGCTTGATGAGTTCTTTGAACTGTAGGCTGCATTTGACTTGAGTTCCAAGTTGCACAGCTTGCAAACAATCATTCTGGACACAGCACATTTATTATGCAAAACAGATTGCCCAAATGCTTTTCCTGTGCAGTATTAGCTAAGAACCAAGTTCTGGAACAAGGTTGCCAAAGGTAGCAGAAGCCAGTGAAAA